TTACGAAACATGTCCCCGTCGGGTACCGCATGCTCATGGTTACCAACGGTCTGCACGTGAACATCAGGGAGGTGGTCGCGGGCATGCCCGTGACACGCCTCCCTGCAGTCCACCAGCGGCTGCAAATCGCACAGCGTTCGGCACGCCATTAAACGTGCTGCCACTCCCATCCAGAATCATTTGCACGGCTTGTGGCTGCCAATGTTCGCCAAGGTCTTGCTAGACATAACATGTCGAGTGGTGCAGCCGATGAAGCCGGATTTTAAGCCCGCGCAGCCCCAGAGCATGCCGCCAAGCATCCCGATCGGTGGTCAACGACGAGGCCCTTCCTGGGTTGATGAAGGTTCTCTCCCCCGCCACCCAGGAGGCCAACACGACTTACGACCTGCGCCCGTACGCCGGCGACGGCCACGATATAGGCCTCTCCTGAAGCTGGCCCTGGCTCGGCGGGCGACTGTCTGCATGATGTTCCTCTTCTTGCACGACGTTGACTTCGAGACGAAGCTTTGCATCTTGGCGGAGCGGGCGTGTGTCTGGTGATTCTGCCGCTGCCCTTGGTTGCGCTTCTCTTCATCTTACTGGTACTGCGCAAGCTGCACGTGATGGCCGGCGGAGCTGCTGCGCCCGATGTCCTCGGCTTCCACTGCGCCGACGGGCCCAAGGATTCTCACTTCGATATTACCCGCACTGCGCCTTCGATGACGCGCGCACAGCTTCCCAGTTGACGGGGGTACCTGGCCGAGCAACTGCTGATGAACGTGCTTGGTTCTGCCGTGTTTGTCTTGCATATGCGGAAGCTCCGCATCTGTCTTCGACGCTGTGGCACGCTCGCGCTGCTGGCCGCATTGATCCGAAAGGCCACGCCACTCTTCTCGCAATGCGTCATGTGTTCCAATCAGAACGGCGCCCAGAGATGCCAGCACCATCACAAGCTGATTATCAACTTGATTGTCCCCGGGTGGTGGGCAGGATGGCTCGATTATGTCGGCTTTTGCGCATGACGATGGTGCGCGAGTTGATCGGGTATGGCGCGATGATGGTCAAGCAGATCGTTCAGTGCAGGACGGTGGTACACGCGTGGGTAGGGATCCGCAAGAGGGGTTGCGTTACGACAGTTATGGTCGCCAAGCTGCTGGTCCATCGCGTGACGGTTGTGCGCGCTTCGATGGACCATGGTTCTATATTGGTCACGCCGTTGGGACAGTGCAAGACGATGAGTTCGAGTGTATGGATTGTGGCGCGAAAAACGACCTCGCGACGATTCGTTCTTCTTTGGGGAGCGCAGGAGGTTTTACTTCCGCCTCCCCCACCGCATGGCAGTGCACGATTGGATGGGGTACGACATAGGGAACTGCGTTACGGCGTTCCTGGCCACCCAGCTGTTCGTCATGGACAGTTGTCTGCCCCCTTTTCAGCGCACCTGTGCGGCCTGAGGCTGGCCAAAGTGCTTGCGCAATGCGCCACGACGGCGCGCAGTGGATGGGGTGCGGCACAGAGGACTGCTTTACAACGGCTCGGGACTTCAAGCTGTTGGTACAGTGCATGGCGATGGTGCACTCGTGGGCGCTGTATATTGCGACGGACTGCGTTACGTTGATGGTGGTCTCCAGGCTGTTGGCAGAGTGCTTGGTGCAGTGCGCGACGACGGTACCCCAGCGGATGGAGTACGGCACGGAGGAAAGCGCGAGTCTACGGTGAAGAAATACACATTCCTCCGCACTCTTGTTCGGCCTGTGGCTGGTCAAGGATCTGGTGCAGTGCATTGCGATGGCGCGCGGGTGAATGGTGAGCGGCACGAAGGATTGCGTTGCAATGGCTTGGGTTCAAGCTGTTGGTACAGTGCATGACGACGGTGCGCTCGTGGATGGAGCACGGCATGACGAATTGCATTATGACGATTGTGGTCATCAAGCTGCTGGCACAGTGCATGCTGAAGTGCATGATAACGGTGCCCCAGTGGAAGGGCTCCCTGGCCATCGCACTCTCGACTGAATGGTGCTTGGTGCGCCAATTCTCCGACGTTCTGACCTTGTTCGATTCCGCTGCTGCTCAGAGTCGCTCGCTTCCCTGACGGGTGTCCTGAGTCAGCGCATGCCGCGGATATCGAAGGAGGGCTAGGATGATTGTACGTATCATTGGGTAGGCCATGCTATGGAAGAAGCTGCGACTTTGCAACGGTCGCATGCGATCATGAACAGGGAGGCGGCTACGTCGCACATGGCAGCTGCGCTACGGAGGTCTCAGCAGCTACGGAGGTCTCAGCAGCTACGGGGGTGCTCCCCAGCGGCGGCGGGCGAGCACTCCGCCTGACGGCGAGACCGTCGTCGAAGCGCTGTCGGTGATCAGCGGATTCGCCTTTCACGATGCTTTCGATTCCTTATCTGGGCCCCCGGATTTCTTCGGCACGGACTTGAGGACTGGCCCCGCGGGGGCCGCGGGGGCCCGCGGGCGGCGCCGACGGTACGGTCTCGGCGGGCAGATTGGGGGCCCTCTTCGCGGCGCGGGCTCCTTCTCCTTCCCCCCGGCGGCGGCGACGGTCGCGGCGGCGGTATAGTTATTTGCCCGTCTTAGTGGGTGTCGGCAACCTTCCATTAAGCGCCTGGATAAAGATTTGCCCAATATGGAAGGGTAGCAGTCACGAGCTGCAGTAGCAACGATACTCGGTTCGAGTGCGATAAAACAAGTGCTATCAACAAACCAATTAAGGGCGAAGGTACAGTACAATGACCTCCCAGCATTGAGGGGGTAGTTAAGGCACACTGCGGTTATGACACCAGCGTAATACCAGGCGGGGCTATGATGAGGATGAATCCGTTCCAGAAGGTTCCGGAACGTTCCCAAAACGTTCCGGAACGTTCTGAGAAGGCCGTGTCACCCAAGATATTTTCCAGAGCCGCGGGGTCTCAGCGATTCTCGATTAATCCTCACCCAAGTTTATCTGCGTCCTGGCGTCGTTTTGGACTTGCCCAGTAATGAGGGGGCGGTGAAGATCAGGTCGTGAGACCCGCCAGTTGGCCACCCGCCAGCGGGCAGCACAGCGCACCGGCCTCATGCTACCCGCCATGGGGCTCTGACCAGAAGCTGCCGCGGAGGAGGAGGACGAGGGCAAGGGGGAGGATGAGGGCAGGAAGAGAACGAGGGAGAGGAGGAGTTGGAGGAGGAGGAGGAGGAGGAGGAAGAGGAGGAGGATCAGGAGGATTAGGAGGAGGACGAGGAGGAGACGGAAGGAGGAGGAGGAGAAGGAGGAGGAGGAGGAGGAGGAAAGAGGAGAAGGAAAAGGAGGAGGAGGAGGAGGAGGAGGAGGAAGGAAGGAAGGAAGGAATGAAGAGAGGAAGTATGGAAGAGGAGGAGGAAGGAGGAGCAGGAGGAGGAGGAACAAGTGGAGGAGGAGGAGGAGGAGCAAGAGGGCAAGGAGGCAGAGGAGGAGCATACTATACCAAAGATGTATCGACGATGCTGCAGCACACCGTCGCGTCCCATAACTCCCTGTGAGAGTTCTGTGTTACCCCGCGACGGCCCATCCGTCCCCCCATGAAAGACGAGGATCCCAAGGGAGCACAACTTGGGCGAGAACTTTGTTGTGCAAGGAACTGGTTTCTACAGTGTCGTTTTTTTGTTTTTTTGTATATATATACACGCTCCGCGTGCGGATCATGTATTAAACATGCAAGGATTTAGTATTCAAAACAACGATGAGTTCATGCAGACATTTATCCATAAATTAATCATGCGTAGAATCCAATAGTTTCAAATCCTATGTATAAAGAACTGCCCTGTAAGTGGTGGGTGCATCCAATTGTGGACACGAAACCCAAAACCGGCCGACCTTCGTCCGTGATGCCTGCTGGGTGTTTGAGGACGGCGGTGCGCGTCGCCGAGGCGAGCGCCCAGTTTTGGCAACGATAGGTTAGCCCTCTGTTCGCGTATCTGATGCGTGTCAGATATTTTGGGCGAGGGCCACGCTTTGAACACCACTCGCTCTCTATCCGCGTAACCCTTGAACTTTTCAAGCTTCGAGGCCGTGAACGGTGAGGATGTTTCAGCCGAAACGGTTGGCCCGTCTGGTAGTGTGACTCGGAGGTTTGTTTCACCAGCCACCGCGCCATTCCGGGTGGCCATTGTTCTCGAGGGGGTCGGAAGGCCGTAATGTGTGATACTTTGTCCACGCAGGCTTGGGAGAGCCGCACATGTGACACGCTCATCCGCGTTGTTTGGGTGGGGCTCTCTTCGGACGTCTTGGGGCCGTCGTGGGGTCGTCTCGGGGCCGTCTTGGGCCATCGAGGGGCCCTCCAACGCTGTCATGGGTCCCTTTGGATGCCCTCCTGGGACATCCTGAGGCTCCCTCCGGGCCTTCCTGGACCCTTTAGGGGCACTATTGGGCTGTCTCTAGGCTGTCTTGGAGGATGTTATGTTAGAAGCTTCGCGTAACCCAACCAGCCCATTCAGAAACGATGTCCAGGCGAGTTGTCCCGGCAAGGGATGTGGAGGAGCATGCTGTTGAGTCACGGGCTGGAGGAGCCGCCGCACTCCAAGAGGGGGATGATGGAGGAGGAATCCCGAGGAGGAGGAGGCAGAGGAGGCAGAGGAGGAGGAGGAGGAGGAGAAGGAGGATGAGGAGGAGGAGGAGGAGGCAGAGGAGGCAGAGGAGGCAGAGGAGGCAGAGGAGGAGGAGGAGGAGGAGGAGGAGGAGAAGGAGGAGGAGAAGGAAGAGGAGGAGGAGGAGGAGGAGGAGGAGGAGGAGGCAGGAGGAGGAGGAGGAGGAGGAGGAGTAGGAGGACGAGGAGGAGACGAGGAGGAGGAGGAGGAGGAGGAGGAGGAATAGGAGGAAGAAGAGGAGGAGGCGGAGGAGGAGGAGGAGGAGGAGGAGGAGGAGGAGGAGGAGGAGAAGGAGGAATAAGAGGAAGAAGAGGAGGAGGCGGAGGAGGAGGAGGAGGAGCAGGAGGAGGAGGAGGAGGAGAACCTGGAGGGCGGAGGCGATGACGGCGACGACGTGCGGAGAGGACGTGCCGCGCCCGCCGCCGGCGCCCGTGTGCCTGCCGCTGCCGGGCCCGCTGGCGGCCAAGCACGCCGCGGACAGGACGCCACCGCCGCCGCCCCCCCCCACACACAGCAACACAAGGAGCAAGAGCCTGGCGCCAGGCGGAATGGGCCTTCTCGGCCCTCTCGGCTCTCCTGCTCCCTCCTCTCCCCCCCTTGACCTCCTCTCTCCTCCTCCTCATGGCCTTCTCTTTTTTTTTGTTTTTGTTTTTTTGTTTTTCTCTCTCTCTCTCTCTCTCTCTGTCTCTGTCTACCGGATAGCGCGCAGCCCGCCAACGACCAGATGAGTCAGAGCGCGGTGGCCACCTGTCCTTCCCATGGCAGTCGGCCCTCTCAGTCGGCCCGCCAGGGGTCCGACAAGGGCGGCCGCCAGCCGCGGAGCGACGGCCGCCAGGCCAGCGGGACCGCCCAAAGCACGGACCGCACGCGAGCCCCCACGCAGCACGGCACGGCGGCGAGCGGCCAGCAACAGACAAGGGGCCGCGAGAGCACGCACCGCCAGCGTGCAGGCGCTCCAGCACCGCGCCAACCAGCCAGCGCCTTCCCTCCACCAAGCGGCCCCCCGCCGATCGCTAGGTTTAGGTCGGGCATGTCCTTCTACAGAAGGAATGTCCAAAAAACAGTCCAAACAAATGAGATGGGGACGATTCTTTGACTATGCTTGAAGGCATGTTTGGACATGTTTTGTTTGTTGTTGTAGTTTTCCTCCGGATATCCGCCTGTAGGGGACATGCCCGACCTGACGCCAGGTCCCACCAGGCGCTCAGAGGCCCGCGGCGTGCAGTAGGCCTTCTGGCCAGCTGCCGCTGCGGGGGCGCCCTCCCCCAGCAGCCTCCCCGCCTTCTTCGTCGACGCCTGGCGGGCGGCACGCCGGTGCTGGCCCCACCCTCCCGCTCCCGCGGGCTGCAGCCGCAGTGGGCACCTGCGCCGTCGTCCGCCACGCTCGGGCCGCCGCCGGGGGGCGCCCCGGGGGCGGGCACTACACGCATTCGCCCGGGAGCCTCGCCGAAGACATACAGTCGGGGCCCTGAAGAAGGAACCCTTTTCGTTGGGGAGGGGCTCCGCGTTCCTTGATTGTTTCACAGCTTGCCTCAGGCTTTCCTTATGTTTTCGACCGGAAATCGAAGGTTAACTTCTGGAAAAAAAGGGGCCTCGTTCCTTGTTTAGGGTTCCTTAGGTCAACGCCCCGACTGTAGATCATCGGCATCCCTGGACACATGCGTTGCTGCACCCCTCGGGCGATCCTCGCCCCTTCTCGTCGCTTCCGGCAGGGCGGCGCTGGGCACCGCCCCAAAAGTCCTGGCGAGTGCCGCGTCGCGCAGGCCGAGGCGGTCTGCGGAGGCAGAGCGCGAGCTTCCGCCACGCGGGGGCGCAGGCGGGCCCCCCGCGGCGGCCCGCGTCCTCCGGCGCGCCCCGCTCGGTCTTGTCCGGGCGCGGGGGGGTCCCCGGGGCCGCGCCGGGCGGGGGGTCACCCACGCCACGCCGGCTGCGCTGCGGCGCCCACGGGGCACCTCCCGGCCTGTGAGGGGCGGCGTCCGCGCGGCACTCGCAGCCGCGGGGGCCTGACGAGCCTCGGCTCGTCTAACGCGTTGCGATCGCTCTCTCTCTCTCTCTCTCCCTCTTTATCTCTCTGAGCCTCTCTCGCTCTCACTCTGACTCTCTCTCTCTCTCTGTCTGTCCCTCTCTCTCTGCCGTTCTGTATTACTGTATATATTGTTTGTGTTTTTTGTTGTTGTCTCTCTCTCTCTCTTTATCTTTTTCTGTTGTTCTCTATCTCTCTCTCTCTCTCCCCCCTCTCCCTCTCTCTCTCTCTTCTCTCTCTCTCTATCAGACTCTTTTTCTCTCTCTCTCTCTCTCTCTCTTTCTCTCGCTCCCTCTCTATGCTCTCCTTCTCTCTCTCTCTCTCGGGCCGTTGTTTCCTCTCTCTGTCTCTCTCTCTTTCTCTCCTTCTCGGCTCGACTCGGCTCACGGCACACGAAGGTTCATCCTGCAGCCACCCATCCTGCCCCGACGCCCGCCCCAGGGGCCTCTGGGGGGGATAAAAAATGGTCGTCCTCCTCGAACCATCCCCTAATCACATTCCCAACATCCTCCATACACCCCAGGCTAATCCCTGCCCCTCCTGCCCCGTAGGGCCGCGAAATGCTCGCTGGCGTTCCGGTCGGCGCAGTAGTATATACTCATCCATGATGTTGCTGTGGTGGATGTCGTTTTCAGGCGTTTTGCGTCGGGAGGGGTGGTGGTCGTAAAGGAGGGTGGGTGGTGGTCGTAGAGGTGGGTGGGGAGGGCGTCGGGGTTTGGGGAGGGGGGCGAGTGGCCAGGTTTCTGCTCGGGGACGCGGGCAGGGGTGGCCGCAGGCCATGCGCCCGCGGCGAGGCGGGGGCCGCAGGCCTCTGACAGGTGCCGCCGCCAACGTCGTGGATGCGTAGCCGAAGAGAAGTACGGAGGGGGGTGAGGCGGTTGTGGCCGAGTGCCGTCATTGGCGGGTTGCGTTGCCTCAGGGGCGGCGCCAGTCGGTGAGGACCGAGGGCGCTAGAGGTCGGAGGGGCGTTGCACCCTAGAAGGTGCGCTGTGTGGTGGTGTCGCCAATAACGCGGCAAGGCTCGGAAGCCAGGGTCGTCTTGTACCTGGTTCGAGGTGTGGCGCTGGCGTCGCCTGTGTCGGCTCTAGTGCTGGTGCTGGTGTCGGCTCCGGTGCTGGTGCTGGTTCAGCTGGCGTCGGCGCTGGCGCTGGCTCTGCTCCCGCTGGCAGAGGTCCCTCTGGTGTGAACTCGGAGTCTGGGACTGGCGCACGGTCCTGGTGGCGGCAATGGTGTTGGTGGTGTGGGTGGTGGTGCTGCTCGTGAGCTCGGTAAGGCTGAGTGTTGGGTGCCTGCTATGCGTGGGGCTGAGCGTGGGGCTGGGCGTAAGGAAAGGCGTCGGAAAGGTGGGCGTCGGTTTGGACGTCGGGAAGGGTGTCGGGATGGGCGTGAGGGAGGCTAGGAGTCGGTTCGGGCGTCGGGAAGGGCGTCGGGTTGGGCGTAGGTTTGGGCGTCGGGTTGGGCGCCGGGAAGGGAGTCGGGAGGGGCGTCGGGAAAGGCGTCGGGAGGGGCGTCGGCGGAGGCGTCGGGAAGGGCGCGGGGCTGGGCGTCGGTTTGGGCGTCGGGTTGGTTGGGCGTCGGTTTGGACGTCGGGAAGGGCGTCGGGTTGGGCGTATGTTTGGCGTCGGTTCGGGCGTCGGAAAGGGCGTCGGGAAGGCCGTCGGGTTGGGCGTCGGCGGGGGCGTCGGGCGGTGCGTCGGGAGTGGCGGCGGAGGGAGCGTCGGGAGGGCGGGCGTGAGGGGCGTCGGTGGGAGCGTCGTCGGGGTCGTCGTTGGGGTGGTCGGCCTCGTCGTCGCGGGTGGCTCCGGCCGTTCCAAAGCTTTGAAATCGATGTTCTGGCGGGTAGCCTCTGGATCCGTGAGGTGGTCCGCGAAATTGAAGTCCTTGGAGGCCTTGAAATTGGAGGTGATGTTCGGCATGGAATTGGTGTCCTTGGAGGGCGCGAAACTGGAGTCCGTGGAGGTCATGAAATTGAAGTGCTTGCGCGCCCCTGCTGCGAAATTGGAGTCCTTGGAGGCCGCGAAATTGACGTCCTTGGAGGCCGTGAATTTGAAATCCTTGGAGGTCGCATGCGGGACGTCGGGGGGGGCGTCGGGTTTGGCGTCGGGAGGAGCGTCGGGTGGGGCGTTGGGAAGGGCGTCGGGAATGGAGTCGGGAGGGGCGTCGGGAAGGGCGTCGGGTTGGTCGCGGGGCTGGGCGTCAGTTCGGGCGTCGGGAAGGGCGCCGGGTTGTGCGTCGCTGTGGGCGTCGGGAAAGGCGTCGGGAGGGGCGTTGGGTTGGGCGTCGGGTTGGGCGCGGGGCTGGGCGTCGGGAAGGGCGTAGGGAAGGGCGTCGGGAAGGGCGTCGGGTTGGGCGTCGGTTCGGGGGTCGGGCAGTACGTCGGGAGATTCGTCGCGTTGGGCGTCCCTCCACACGGTGGCCTGCACAGCGGTCTGGCCTACGTCGATGCCTTCCTTTGGTCTTTGAGTACTGGATGACCTTGTGGAGCGCTTCGTCTGTTTCGAATTGCACGTGGCCCTGTGGTGCGCCTCCTGGGCCCCAGATGACGCGGCAGATCTGGATTGTGCCGAAGATGCTGAACATGGCGTGGAGAGCATGGTTGTCGATGTTGCCGATGCCAGAGACGCGTATGCCATTGGGTGTTGCGGATGTTGATGCTTCGGCCGAGGCCCCCGTGCGACGAGCGACTGCCTGGTGGATGGCGTCTTCGATGGTTCTCTGGCGCCCCATGTCGTCCGGATAGGCTACGGTAGGCGTAAAGGTAGTGGTGGGGATCGCTGGCGCCGTAGTCGAAAAATTTCGCCCTTTGGATGCCGATGGTGTTCCTCCGGTCGCTGGCGATGTCGTCGAGGCTTTGCGTGGTGTCGCGGATGCTGTCGTAGCCCCGTTTGCCTGCTTGCAGTCGTGCGTCTCGTAAGCGTCGTAGGTCCTAGAGTTGTCGTGGCGCTGCAGTGGTGTGAAGGTGGGGGCGTTCGGGTTCATCTGCGGGTCGGTGCTAGTGCTGGCGTCGGCGTAGGGTCGAGCGCGATGGATGCTGCCGTCTGCGCGGGTGTGCCGCCTGTGGTGCTCGTCGTCGTGACCATACCAGTAGTCCCGCTGATACCTCCCATGATGATGCCAGTCATGTCGATGGCTTCTGTACTGCTCATCGTCGTGGTGCCCGTGCCAATGGTCCCACTGACTCTTCCCATAATGATGCCAATCGTGTCGGTGCCATTTGAGCCGATGCCGATTGCCACCGTACCAGTCGCGATGTTGATGACATCGGTGCTCTTCGGCGGAACCGGTGTTGCTGGAGGGCGGCCCGCTGCCACAAAGCATGATGACCACGTCCTTTGAGTCCAGTGCGAGTCCTTTCTGGGCCGCGTAGGGAATGCGTGATCTCGCCGCATATATTTTGGACGCCCGAAATGGGTACGGGAAGAATGGGTACAATGCCCAACAACAAATCGTGTCCCAAA